TGAGATAGGGAAGATTCAAATAATCAAAACTTTTATGGTTTCCGAAGTCTTATTCTGTGCTTCTTGAATAGTAATACCAGACGATTTAATAAATAAAATAAACAGTATGTTATATAATTTCATTTGGAATGGCCCGGACAAAATTAAGCGTAATCTAATAACAAGACACCTATGAAAATGGTGGGCTTGAAATGGTTGACCTTCAACTAATGCTAAAATGTCCGTGTATCTTTTGGATTCAAACCAAACCTGTCTTGTTCCTTATCAATATATACTAAAACAATACGAAACTCATAATCTTACCTGCATATAATTATCCCCAAAATATTAAAATATCAGTAGATTTTTACTCCAGATTATATAAAAAATGGTATGATATATTCAAAACATATTGATGTAAATATAAATCAACAAAAACAAATGATTTGGAATAACAAAAATATAATAGTCAATAACGAAATTCTATTTGATCGATATTTATTAAACCGAGGTATAACTTACATAAAAGATACCTACGATTCAACAATTAACCTAAACATACTTGCGCAAATGAAAATAAAAAAAGTCAAGAAAGGTTTTTCTTCAATTCCTAATGAAAATTATTACAATACTTTAAATGAAAATGAAGCTATATTAAGCAGCGTAGAAAATCTTTTAATAAAATATATCAATCTAACCTTGATTCTATCAAATCCCAAACTATCTATCAAAAAACTCTCATATCACAAATATATAAACAAATGGGAAGATGGCTTTTACATTCATTTCAGTAAAAACAGCTTTTCAAAAATATTAATTTAACTTGCATTAATACAAAACAAAGAATTTTCCAATTCAAATATATTCACAGAATAATTTTTACCAATGCTAAACTTGTCAAAAGGAATCGCAGAATCCAGTTTATGTCATGTCATTTTTGTAACAGTGCTATAGAAACAACGAATCATCTTTTTACTTTTTGTCCTGAAACCCAAATACATGGGAATGAAATCAACAAAATGTTTATATTCAATAACTTCAATATACCACTATTTTCAAAAATATAGCATTTAGGAATTTTACCCAAAGAACAGGGACAATCAATAGAATCATTTACCTTTTTAAATCACTTAATTTTTATTAACCAAATTCTTTATCTTTAAAACAAAAAATTTGAGATACAATATACATATAAGTAAATTCAGATCTAAATATACCACTCTTTTCAAAAATATAGCATTTAAGAATTTTACACGAAGAACAGAGACAATCAATAGAATCATTTACCTTTTTAAATCACTTAATTTTATTAACCAAATTCTTTATCTTTAAAACAAAAAATTTGAGATACAATATACATATAAGTAAATTCAGATCTTTTTTTTTAAGGAGACAGCCGAAATCGAAACAAATATTGATAGAAATTTACAAAACAAATGGGTCTTTTTTCAAAATTATTACTTCTCTGTTTTTTATGCCTATTTATTTATGCAAATACTACTTCCTTTGTAAGGATATATTGTGTAATTTTTTCTCTTTTATTATTATTATTAATGTACAATACTGTACAAATGCCTACCAAATAATGCAAGAACTGTAAATATAATGTGTATGTGCGTATGTAAGTAAATACGTAATTTATGTAAAAATAAATTAATATTTGCATATATTCATAAAGACATATCATTATTGAAAAAAAAATACACTTAGTGAAAAATTAAAGTTTTTAATTCAAAATAAAAAGTGAAATATGTCGTATGTTAGCTTGTACGAAAAATCTCAGAAATTGCCATGTATTTGTTTGTTGTGTTACGAATCGTTTTGGACTCTTGACCGCCTTTCAGTAAACTATTGAACATAGACATTCTATATTCGAGCAAAGTGCAATCCATTTACAAACAAAACTCAAAGAAGATGAAATTGTGCGAGAATACTCAGAATGGATTTAGAACATCATGTCATGTTTTAGAGAATATAAAGTTAAAATCCTAAAGAGGTAGTGAAGTGAAGTAGTGCGGGCTATTATTTTAAGTAATTTCAGATCAGAAAAGAAATTCCAGACCGCTCATTCCAATTTTCAAAACTCTGAAGTATTACATATACATACAACTATTAGTATTAGTTGTACTTACCAGCAACATAAGCTAGAATCATCCATTCCACAACAGTTGCACTTTCACCCCTCAATTCAACTTTTGTACCATCACTGTAACGTCGAGCAGTGTTATCTGGTATAAACTCAACACGCTGTGACACCAATATCAATAAAACTTAAAAGAAAATTTTATAACAATAAAATAACATTTAAATGGGTTTTCGTAAATTAATCCACTTTACCGTATGGTTCGAATGAAATTATAACATGTAATCGCGATTTAGTCATAATGTTTCTTCCGACTTTTCGTGTATTTTCGCCCATTCTCTTCGAAACGGGTTTGATTTTGTCCAAGGAAACATTGGTAGATCCTTTTTGTACATGCTTACGTCATCCTTACAATAAAAAACAAGCGTGTTGTCCGTAACAAGACAAAATATAAGAATGCGATTAAAACTACACCTACAACAGGTCATCTCCTGAAAACTCAACCGTCGCTCCACTAAAAATATTGATTTGAAGTCGTAAACTAGTCTATTAGGATGCCAAATACACACAGTTCCTTAACTGTAACCCGCACTTTTCTAATACGAATTCGTTCACCAGCGGATGTATACTTAATTTCCTTATTGGACTCAGACGCGAACGAATATATAAATACCCATATTTTGTAGTTGGAGATGGTCACGTGGTTATGGATTGGCCAATAGAAAGAAACAAAACCAGCACGAGTCGCCATGTGTTGGAGAATATTGTTTTATTCCAACTGACGGAGTATGGTTTATTAAATGTGTTTATTTTAAATCATGATTTGACACACGAATTCAATGATTTTATCTATTCCTTTTCAAAACATAATAGAAAGCTCGAATTGGATAATTCAATGATAAATATGGAACTTTGTTTCAATTGTATAGAAGTTTATATCCTTGAAATGAAAAAACACTTTTAGATTAGGTATTGTATTTACAGAAAGATCATTTTTGTTTGATAAAAAGTACTGGAATAAAAGAAATAGACAAAAAACTGCAACTTGTTTCAAAATTTAATCCAGCACCCTATGAAACGACGCAAACATCCCAACCTGAAAGTTTGTGAAACTTACATAGATGAAGAAACTTGTAAACAATATCATATGCTTGTACTTTGGAAATCTTGAAAAGTTCCGAAAAATGTTAGGAAAAATAAATGGACTTTATCCAGACTTACAACCAATAGATAATTTTCCTGGAGAATTTTATAAAAAAAAATAATGAATATAGTTCACATATTTGTAGGAACAAGATCCCAGGTCGAGGCAAAGTGACGAGAAGCAAGTAAAATTAAAAAAAACCTGTTATCTATTGAATTGTACCAACCAAGTACAACTGACATGTAACTATGCATGATGTATTCAGTTAAACATGTAAGGCTAGGTCACATAACCTATAGACCATATTAAAGGCATTTTTACGCACTTAAATCTGATTCGATTACCCTAATCAAAATGATGTCACAAATCGAATCTGATTTATACTGCAGGATAAATGAACATTATACTATTTATAGTTTCCAAGATGGCAAAGCAGGAAGAAATTAATGGTAATGGTTTTGACATGTTGGACGCCATTACTTAAGCGGAAGTTAACAGAGCTACGACGCCCCAAAGTTGATTTACTCGATTAACGTATATCGATTTGATTCGCTGCTACAATAAATGCGCTGATTACCATAATCAAATTTGATTTGATACAGGATAAATGGTTTTTAGACCACATCGAATCAGATTAAGCCAGGATAAATACGACTTAAACAATAATAAAGTAACTGAATATAGATCGCACAAACGCAAAACATATCCGATAGATCGCTTCAACTCACATTGTTTTCAGCAACGGTTGAAGGGAGCAAACTCCGACAAACAACCTTTATCTTTCAGACTACAAAAGGAACATCGACGCTTTTTTCAAGATAAAATTCATAAATTTCAAATGGCGATAAAATCGGAAGTAAACACCGTACAATAAACGTTGATATACCATTGGATAGATCTCGTCGAGAGCTATCAAATTGTTCGGGTCACATGATCACCAAAGGTCAAGGTCATGATATACGACCCTTCAAAGTATTCATATTTTTCAACCGGAAATAAATAAAAAGCAAAATCAAAATTCAAAAATCGTTTCTCAAATATTATTTAGCAATCGATAGTAGATACCATAGATATCAAATTTAAACAAATTGGATTACACCCTGAGGCCCCATTTCGATTTATAGAAAATTACGCACAGTTACTATAGAAGAAAGTACAAAATTTTAAAATAATAAAAAGCGCAATTTGATTGAAATATCTAGTGGTATATATCATTACAAAGGGCAGATGAACACTAGTAAGATTCAATAAGAATTTTTGTGTATGTAAATTAGGTGTCAGAGCTCGTAATTTTCAATCGGCTATAAAACCGGAAGTAAACATTGCACAGCACGAATGAGTATATCACTGGATAGATATCATCGAGAGCAACAACTTTTGTTCAGGCCACAAGGTCACCAAAGGTCAAGGTCACGAAATAGGAGCCTTTGAAATTTTTGACATTACCGAAAAATTTTAACCGGAAATAAAAGAAAATCGAAATTAAAAAATCGGCTTCCAAATTTCTTTTCGCAATCGATTGTGATATCCAGATATACCAAAATTATGAAAAGCGCTCTATACCCTGAGGCCCCATTTTGAATTTTACAGAAGTTTGACATATCAATATGGCGGCTACACTGTTACACCCGGGTCGGATTTTTTGATTTGAAGTTTTTTGTATGGCTATTTGTAACATATTGCAAAACTTCGGTTTCCATATTTTTTTTCGCAATCGATTGTGATATCCAGATATACTAAAATTATTACCCTGAGGCTCCATTTTGAATTTTTACAAAAGTTTGACATATCAATATGACGGCTACACTGTTACTTCCAGGTAAGATTTTATAAATAGAAGTTTTTTGTATGACCATTTGTAACATACTGCAGAAAGAATTTTTGAAATATCTTCAAAATTCCGGAAGTTGAAATTTATATTTTAGAAGCGAATAGCGTCAAAACCGGAAGTGATATCAAAATTTCGAAAATTAATTTTTGTTCGCAATAAAAGTATCTATCTCTAAGTAAGTTTTCAGATTGATCGAAATAGAATTGTAAAAGTTAGGAAAAAAGGTTAAAAAACTCTAAAATTGGAGCTAAAAAAGAAGAACGCACTGCAACTAGAGCCGTAAGTGCAACGACGCTAAAGCAGTGCGTTGCATTCTGGTAGAAAGATGCAAAGTATCGTTGGATTACATAAATGCCCCTAACTTCATTATTCCTAGTAGAAAGGTTTCATAAAACAAGAGAATTTTCACAGACTTTCCATATGCTGTTGATTTGTAAATTACAAGAATATATACCCCTTATGTTTCTTTTAAAACTTTTCACTGGTCAACGATACAATTCTAGCACATTTTTAAATTTCTTTTTTAAAAAAATTAAAAAGTGCTTTTTTAGAATTGATTTTTATGTGTGGATTTGGATCAGTCCCTTCAATATTTAGAAATTTTGAAATATAGGAATCCATGTACCAACCATTTAAGAAAATTCATAGCACTCGGTTTTTGTTATTGTACTATTCGCAATATTCCAACGGCTATAAAAACGGATGTAAACATCGTACATAGTCACCACAGGTTAATGTCACGAGATATGAGCCTTAAAAGTTTTGAAAATTTCTGTTTATGGAAGCCTGTAAAACCGGAAAGAAGTGTCGGACATCATAGATCAAAAGATAAATTGACATTAGAGATTAATGACATTAGACCTTGAAAAGGTCAAGGTCATTAAAGATGAAGGTCAAAAATGAAAATTTAGTCAATTGTAAAACCTATTCTTTTTTTAAAAGTAAAAAGCCCAAACAGATTTATCTTCCTACGATATTGGCCAAACTAGTGACCTATGTTCCTGCAAAATATTATCGGTGAAAAATGTATACTTTGCAAGTTATGATAAATAACAAATATATAATATATATGTACATCTCACCCGGATGTGCCACGCCCACCCTCAAAATTTTGCTCTGTCTGCTATCATGTGTACAATGTTAAATGATGTTCAAAATTTCAAGCATCTACAATTATTAGATCATGGGATATTCGTTGTTAAAAGTTAAAAGTTTGAGTTTATTCGGCGAAAACCAAATTTCGCACAGTTACTATAGACGTCAGTATAAAATTTTATCAACTGTGATATATCCTCAGAAAGAGGAAATCGCACACATTAAGGAAATGAAATAAATTTTGTCGTATGATAATAAGGTCACGTGAGAGAGGTCTTTTAAGATAAAAATTGCGATTTTCAAATGGTTTAGAACCGGAAGTTAACATCGCTTGACAAAGTAAATATATCTTACAAGGTCACCAAAGGTCAAGGTAACTAGATATTAACAGTTTTGACAATTACTGAAAAAATAAAACCGAAAAATAAAAAAAGCAAAGCCAAAATTAAAAAATCGGCTTCCAAAATTTTGTTAGCAATCGACTTTTTACCCCTAGGCCCCATTTTGAGTTTTATAAAAAATAGGCGGATCAAGATGGCGTCTGACCCTATACTTCCGGGTCAAATTTATTCATTCCAACATCTTAATGGGGAGTACTCTAACTAATTGCAGAAAGAATTTTTCAAATGTCTACAAAATTCCGTAAGTTGAAATTTCAACTTTACGAGCGAATAACGTCAAAACCGGAAGTGATATCGAAAATTGATTTTTAGTTCGCAATCAAAATGTCTAACTATCTGTAAGTTTCCATATCGATCGAAATAAAATTGTAGAAGTTAAAAAAAGTGAAAAAACTCAAAAATTAAAGCTAAAAAAGTCAGCGACAGTCAGTCAAAATCGAAAATACTTTGAATTGCTATCTTATAGCCATTAGCACGAACTTATTAACAAAAAAAGATCGATCAAAATCCGATCAAAATTGGAGCCCTAAATTAGCAAAAACCTCAATCTTAATGGGGAGTACTCTAACTAATTGCAGAAAGAATTTTTCAAATGTCTACAAAATTCCGGAAGTTGAAATTTCAACTTTACGAGCGAATAACGTCAAAACCGGAAGTGATATCGAAACTTTGAAAATTGATTTTTAGTTCGCAATCAAAATGTCTAACTATCTGTAAGTTTCCATATCGATCGAAATAAAATTGTAGAAGTTAAAAAAAGTGAAAAAACTCACAAATTAAAGCTAAAAAAGTCAGCGACAGTCAGTCAAAATCGAAAAAACTTTGAATTGCTATCTTATAGCCATTCGCGCGAACTTATTAACAAAGTAAGATCGATCAAAATCCGATCAAAATTGGAGCCGTAAATTAGCAAAAACGAAAAAAATGGATTTTGTCCTACGTCATTTCCGGTTGGAAAAAAATGCATGAAAATACATTCATCAGATTTAGTCTCGCGGCATTAACGGGAGAAATGTTAACAGTATTTATGTGGCATGTATAGTATTGTCTGGGCGCTCTGACCAGAATTCGAAAAAAAACTAGATCCACAGGCTTCGTGTGGTTCTGAAGCAGTGCGTATCAGTTTCGATTTTACGCTTTAAACTGTGCCGCAAAGTATCGTAACAGTAACATAACTTCCTATCATAATTAACTGGATATAGACAGATCGCTTCAACTCACATTATATAAATATTCCTTAACCTACTGTTTTCAACAGCAGTTGAAGGGAGTGTCATTTCTGGAGACTGTGCCTCGATCGTTGGGTGTTATTTTTTCTTTTTACCTAGATAACTATGCCTATCGTTATGTCCTGTCGATAAAAATTTATTAGTAATTAGATGTCAATCACGTGATTTATTCTATTGCTACTCATTACTATACCTGATTACTTTTTGTTATTACTATTTACAAGTATTTTAGGTTATCATTCTTGCTACTTACTTCGGTGTTTATACATCTATATTTCAACCTTTAGATTGCTTTTAGCGTCTATTGCTTAAAGGTAATTACTATTTTTAAGTTATTTCCCACTTTAGTAAGATGATTCTTAATAGGTAATATCATATTAAATTTTCTAGGATACCTTACAATATTAGAAGTTTTGTATGTTATTTGGGGTGTTTGTTTATATGGTGCCAATAGTTTGTAAGTTCATTTAGTGTTATCTATTCTTATTAGTGTAACTTTAAAGGAATTATAAAATGTTATTATTAGTGCAAGTATAATCGAGTCAGCTGTATTAATAATTATATCATGTATGTATTATATCTTTTGTTTATATTTATACCTATATATGTATATGTTGCAGTGAACGAGCTAAAAAAAAAAAAGATTAGTATCAGCTAAGGCAGCGTTATTAATTCAACACCCCAGATAAAATGACAGTTCAAAACTAAACCAATATGGAAGATCTAAAGAAATTAAGAACACAGAAGAAGACATTATTTACCAGAGAGCCGAATAAGTTGGAGAGCATTTTTGGCTGAAAGAGAAACAGAATGTATAGAAAATAGTATGTTGAAATTAAAGCCGCTTTATAATGACCTAGTCCACGCTTCTGATGATTATCAAGATTTTATTTTAAATTCATTAGAAAGTGACGATTATGATGAATTTTTAAGTGGTTCATAAATATACATTGCAGATATACATAAAAGCTATTGTAGTGTTATCGATAGGGCGAATACATTTTTACCTGTACCTTCTCTTAGGCACTCACCGAGCAAAGATCACATAGCATCTGCTAATTCGGTTGAGGGTAGATCTAACATTAATCCTGAAGCTGACTGTAATCCGGATAAATTGTCAGATTTGATTAAATTAAAGTGGAGTTAAAGCCTTATGATGGATCTCCAAGTACCACCAATTCATTAATCAGTTCAAACGATCGGTTGAAATTTATACTAATGACCCTCTGATTAGATTAAATTTACTTCAACAGTATTGTGTCGGCAATGCATCCAAACTCATTTCTGGGTGTTCCTCCATTGATCCACATGAAGGATATTTGGATGCTTTAGATACTTTGGAAAGACGATGTGGCAATCCTCATTCTATACCAGATAAACTAATAACGTCTTTGAGGTCCGGTAAGTTTTTAAAAACTGCCCAGGACTTATTGTCTTTGTCTGATTCTCTACGGGATGCATATACAATTTTATATGAGTTACACGAGGTAAGTTCCCAATAGTTTTTCAAGGATGTTCTGAATAGGATAACTATTAGATCTGTAAAGGGTAAATGGAGGTCATTAGCACTTGAAACTTTGGAGAAAAGAAATGAGTATCCAAATTTTCGTCGAATTTATTCGAAAGGAAGCGCAATATATGAATGATCCTGTATATGGCTTTGATTTCTTTAAAACTGAAATTAGTGCTACAAATTCTCGAGCGAAGTCCTTCAATTTCTTCACATCTTTTGCAAATAATTGTTCATTGTGTCACGAAGACCATCGCTTACACAGATGCCCACAATTCCAATCTATGTCTTTGGGTTCGAGGCAGGATTTTGTCGCGACCAATAATCTCTGTATAATATGCCTTAGTAGTCATGGAGACCTTTGTAAAAGTCCTTACAAATGCTCAAAATGTGGACAGAAACATTCGTATTTATTGCATGAAGACGAATCAGCCTCACCAGTTTCAGTGAATCTGCTTAATAACAAAGCATCTATTTTACATGTGATTCCAGTAGTTATTGATAATACATATACTAGTTTCGCTCTTCTAGATTCAGGTGCAACAGATAGTTTTTGTACTGAAAGAATTTTGGATCTCGTCAGAGACGATGTTGATATCATTAGCATAGACTATCCAGTTAACACGATCAATGGAATAAGTAATATAAAGAGAAAAGTCCTTAAGTCTTTAACTATAAAATCTCCTTTGAATGGTAATATCCTCATTATGCATCATGTAGCAGTAGTTAGCAATATACTAGTCAATAATTCTAATTTTAATTTGTCTTCTTTTCCTCATTTGAAGGGTATACCTGGCTTGCAAACAGGACAAGTTATTGTTGATATTCTCATCGGTCAAGACCATTCAGAAGCTCTGATTTCACTAGATGTTCGGAAGGGTGGAAAAGGTGACCCGTTTGCTTGTGAGTATCTCCTTGGATGGGCTCGATCTGGTTCTAAAAGATGTCCGAAGCTACCCTCGCAATACATTATCAGTAATTTCATAACCCGTTTTCGTGATATCTCTGATACGCAACCTGACGGTTTAGACTTGCTTTGGCACGAAGAGCTTCAGGGATTGGATGATTTAGCAAATCTGTCCGAGGAAGATAAGTATGTTTTGGATCTGTGGGACTCTGAAACGTATCTTGATGGCAATGGCCATTATGTGGTTCCCATTCCCTATAAACCCAAGGCTTATTTCTCTGATAATATATACATAGCGAAGCTCAGATTAAGCGGTTTGGTTAAAAATCTCCACAAAAAAGGTATGTATGATAGATATGATGCAGAAACCAAAAGCTTTTTGAATCTCACTATGCGAAGCCAGTGCCTATTCTCGGCGAGTCTCCCTTGCGTGTGTGGTATTTACCACATCATGCAGTAGTTACCGACAAGAAACCAGATGTTCTTCTTCGTTTTCGACAGCATGACTTCGCTGTATGTGCTGATGTGGATTGCATTTTTTACCAGGTTATCATACCTTCATCACAGAAGGATTGTTTGCGCTTTCTTTGGTTCAGTGAAAACAATGATGTTTCAACGTTTCGCATGACAGGACATGTTTTTGGTGGCGAATGGTGCGCCGCTAGTTCTACCTACGCATTGCGCAGAACTGTTCTTGATGATTCGCAGGTAAGTAATATTATTCATGATGTTGTTATGAACTCCCTTTATGTAGACGATTTATTACATTCTTCACCAACACGTGATGAATTGGGAGAGGTTGTTCAGGGTGCCGAGAATCAGCTAGGTAAAAGAGGTTTTAATCTTACAAAGTTTGTCACTAATGGTGAAACGGTTTTTAAGTCGGTTCCAGATAAGGAAAGCTTTAGGTGTCCAATGGGATGTAAATGCAGACTATTTCTATTTTTCTTTTTCATCTATTATAGAATCTGAAATTGTAACTCGCAGATCTATGTTGAAGTTCGTAGCCTCTATTTTTGATCCTTTGGGTCTCATAAACCCCGTGTCTGTTAGGGGTAGAATTATCTTACAGGAAGCAACAAAAGACAACCTTGAGTGGGATGAAGAGATTAATCCAGGTGTTTTAATACAATGGAATTCATGGTTACAATCTCTGCAGAGTTTAGAGTCTGTTCATTTCAACCGATGTATAAAACCAGAATCTTTTAATGATTTCTTTCTAGAATTACACCATTTTGCAGATGCCAGTCAATCTGCTTACGGTTGTGTGTCGTATTTTCGTTGTGTTGATGCTTCGGGTAAGGTACACGTTTCTTTGATCATGTCTAAATGTAGAGTAGCTCCAATTAAAGCTATGACAATTCCCAGACTGGAACTTCAGGCGGCCGTTCTGGCAGTTAAGGTCGACCATGTTCCTCGTAATGAATTGACTTTATCATTATCCGAATCTACGTTTTGGTCTGATAGTTATATTGTTATACAGTGGATCCGTTCCGAAAATTCTAGGTATAAAACTTTCGTTGCTAATCGAGTGGGTTATATGAAATCGATTACTAAATCTGAACAATGGAATCACATTTATGGTTCTGACAATCCAACAGATCTTCTTACAAGAGGTGTGCCATCATTAGTTAACAAAGCACTCTGGTTTGTCGGTCCTGATTTTCTCTCCCTGCATAAATGTTTTTGGCCAAAATCGCAATGTTCGCCCGTAGACGACTCTGACTTAGAATTGAAAAATATCATCGTCTGTGTTTTTCACATCTGAAATTGAGAATCCTATAGTTAAACTAATTGAACACTTTTCTGTTTGGAAAAAAGCCATAAAACCAGTTGCATGGCTCTTATTGTTGAAGGATTACCTGTTGGGAAGAATTACTTCGTTTGCACTCTCTGTAGCGAGTCTCGATAAATCTGAGAGACTTATCGTATCTACTTTTCAGAATATTTTTTATTATTCGGAAATTCAAAGTCTGCAAAATGGCGATTCTATTAAAAAGTCTTCTAGTATTCTAAAATTGAGTCCTGTTTTAAATGAACACGGATTACTTGTGGTGAACGGACGTGACAATTCTAATTTGAATTTACCAATTGTTCCTAATAGTTCTCTTGCGAGACTTATTGTTAACTCATACCATTATTCTTTCCATGTAGGATGTGAATGGTTATTAAGCATTATAAGAGAGGATATTGGATCGTCAGATGTAGGTCTTTCATTCGTAAGGTGAACTGTTTAAAATGCAGGCGTCTTTTTGCTAAACCAACACAACAAATCATGTCAGATTTACCGCTTGATCGAACAAATCCTTATGAGCCCCCTTTCTCGACAGTGGGTATTGACTGTTTTGGTCCATTCTTTACAACGCTTGGTAGAAATTCATATAATTGTATTTTTACCTGTCTTGTCACTAGAGCTGTTCACTTGAGATTTTAGAGACGTTTTTATTAACGCATTTGTAAGATTTCGAGCTCGTAGAGGTACTCCTAGGAAGATTTATTCTGATAATGGTTCCAATCTTGTAGGTGCAAGTAACGAACTCCGACTGGCCGTCGATAAATGGAATTCTTGCAACAAATTGTCTTCATTCTTTCTTTTGAATACGATTGAGTGGCATTTTAATACACCCACTGCCTCTAATTTCGGTGGGATACGGGAAAGTCTAATTAGTGTTTTCAGAAGGGTTTTTAACTCACTTTCTTTATCAATTAAGAGTTTTTCATCTGATTCGCTTTCGACACTTTTTACTGAAATCGAGTGTATTATGAACTCTCGTCCCATAACTAAAGTAAGTGATGATCATTTGGATATTTCTGCATTAACACCTAATATAATTCTACTTCTTAACTGTGCACATGCAAAGCCTTTAAGTACTTCTTCGCTTAGAGACTATTATCATTCTCAATGGAAGTATATTCAATATCTTTCAGATCTTTTCTGGAAAAAATGGATAAAATTATATTTGTCTACTTTGAAAATCAGACATAAATGGAATAGTGTTGAGCGTGATCTTAAAATCGAAGATTTGGTTCTTGTTCTGGATATGTTTTTGCCACTTTCGTTATGGCCACTTGCCGTGGTTCAAGAAATTAAAATTAGTCGAGATGGTCATGTACGTTCGGTCACTGTTAAAACGCGTTCATCAACTCTAGTGAGGCCAGTAAATAAATTGGTTCTGCTTGAAGATGCAGATTAGTTGGTGTTACTTACTTAATCATTTTGTAAGAATATAAGAATATTCCCTAGGTGCTTTGATGCTTTCTCATATAGTTTTGTTACACATTTTTCTATAATTTGTTATTGTATAATTGCAAATGACTATTTTTTTTCGAATTTTACCTTCGCTTGTTTTCTAAGAAGGCAACATGCCACAGACTGTCTGTTGTTGTTTTCTGGTCAAAATAGTGGACAATTATTTGTTAAATGTAAATTGGCACCATTTTGACCAACCGGAAATGAGCCGTGGACAATGGCTCTTTTTCAATTTTTTCCATTAATCAGCTTCAATACTCGTCTGAATTTGCTCAAACTGTACTGTATATTACTTCGCGCTAATGACTACAAGATAGCAATTGAAAAAATCGACAATTTTGACTTTTGTCGCTGACTTTTTTAGCTCCAATTTTTGAGTTTTTTAACCTTTTTTCTAACTTCTGCAATTCTATTTCGATCAATCTGAAAACTTACAGAGTAATAGACACTTTCATTACGAACATAAAAAATTTTTTCAAAATTTTGATATCACTTCCGGTTTTGACGCTATTCGCTTCTAAAATATAAAATTCAACTTCCGGAATTTTGAAGGTATTTCAAAAATTCTTTTTGCAATATGTTACAAATAGCCATACAAAAAACTTCAAATCAAAAAATCCGACCCGGGTGTAACAGAGTAGCCGCCATATTGATATGTCAAACTTCTGTAAAATTCAAAATGGGGCCTCAGGGTATAGAGCGCTTTTCATAATTTTGGTATATCTGGATATCACAATCGATTGCGAAAAGAAATTTGGAAGCCGATTTTTTAATTTCGATTTTCTTTTATTTCCGGTTAAAATTTCTCGGTAATGTCAAAAATTTCAAAGGCTCCTATTTCGTGACCTTGACCTTTGGTTACCTTGTGGCCTGAACAAAATTTGTTTCTCTTGATGATATCTATCCAGTGATTTACTCATTTGTGCTGTGCAATGTTTACTTCCGGTTTTATAGCGGATTGAAAATTACGATTTTTATCTTCAAAGAGCTCTGACACGTGGCCTAATTTACATACACCAAAATTTCTTATTGAATCTTTCTATTGTTCATCTGTCCTTTGTAATGATATATAACACTAGATATTTCAATCAAAATTGCGCTTTTTAATATTTGAAAATTTTGTACTTTCTTCTATAGTAACTGTGCGTAATTTTCAATAAATCGAAATGAGGCCTTAGGTTGTAATCCAATTTGTGTAAATTTGATATCTATGGTATCTAATATCGATTTCTAAATAATATTTAGCAAATAATATTTAGCAATCGATAGTAGATACCATAGATATCAAATCTTCACAAATTGGATTACCCCCCGAGGCCCCATTTCGATTTAAAGAAAATTACACACAGTTACTATAGAAGAAAGTACAAAAATTAGTACATAACAGATACTATACTTCTACTTATTTTTTCTAATTTCAGATCAGAATTAAACCTAATATCAAGACCCTTAATCCTTATTTCTAAATAAAGTGTCTGCTCCACCCTAGGCCTCCCTTCTCCGAAATCCACTAGGGTCAGGTTTCTTGTTAGATCTTGGTCTGCCGTTAGCTTCCAGAAGTGATTTGATGTTGGTACCTGAGGTGATATATGAATGTGCATATTCTCTACCCTTACCCACAGAGTCAGATCTAATTGTGACCCGGAATTCCTTAATGGGGAAAGAAACCATTTGGAAAGCTAGCAAGATGGCGACTGAGAGGGGTCGATTTCACGAGTGCTTTACAAAATAAAAGAAATACCTGGAATGTTGAAACTGTTTTTCGTCCTTAGTATTGGAATGTGATTGAAATGCTATTCGTTTAATTGTGAACGTGGACTCTTGTGGAAAAAATGTATGGAAATTGCTGCATATTTAGTGACTGAAAATTTAGCGTAATTGACTGTGGTGAGTTGTATTTGCAGTTTTTCCGAAACATAGCTATGTTATCCAATATAATGAACTAATTATGATTTAAGACACTCAGAATCACCAAGTAATTGAGCAAACATAATTAATGATGAATTCATTCTCAAGTTATGGCAGAATATGAGATGACATTTGAATATTCAAGAAAACGAAAGGATAATAATTCGTCTGCTAGTGATCATCGTATAGTGATAACTCTTTATCCTGCTCTAGTTTACCTGTAAAAAATTTTCAGAAACAAATCAAGACTAGAAACACTCGTGGTACTGAGTGGGATTTTGCTCTTGAGCCAATTTGCTAGAGAATCTGAAAAAATCAACGTTCTTAGCCAATTAGGTCACGGTGCTAAAGAAGTCAAAAATTTAGAAAATTTCGCTTTTTTGGAAGGTTGTGAAAGCGGAAGCTGAAGCCAGACAAAAAATATGAAAGTGTGATTAGATTTCCAAGGCCAATGACCTTTAACCATGTTAAGGGGAAGGTCATTTAAGGTCAACGACACTAGATATGATTCATCAACCGGAAGTTGACGATGAACATCAAATATGAAGGTATTAATCTTTAGCCAAGGTCAATGACCTTCGATCCTACAAAGGTCAAGATCATCAATGGTAAAGGTCAAAAGTTGAAAATATGCAAAATTTAAACCCTGTTCCTTTTTTTGAACTACGAAGCGGAAACAACTGACCTTTTCACACAAAATGGCCAAAGGGGTGAGGTAATTGTATGCAAGGTGGTGTTTTGAACAAATGTATTTTATAAAATGTAAATAATAAGTAATTTAAGCCTAATGTGCCACGCCCGAAATTTCAAAAATTCAGAAATTTCAATTTTGCATTATATATCACTGGAAAGAGCACGATGAGCACATTCAGAATCCACAAAAATTTGCCCTCAAAGTTAATTAGGTCACGAGCTAGAGCAGTCTAAATTTGCGAATTTGGCTGTTTTTGGACAGCTAAAAAACCGGAAGTAGACGTCAGAGGTCAAATATGAAACATAAACTGATAGCCAAGTTCAATGACCTTTGTCCCAATAAAGGTCAAGATCATCCAAGGTCAAGGTCAAAAATTGAAATTGTGAATTTCCAAAACCTGTTCCTTTTTTTGAATTATGAAGCTGAAATAACTGACCTTCTAAGATAAAGTGGCTCAAAGGATGACGTAATTGTGAGCAAAGTTCCATTTTGAACAAATGTATTCTTTGCGAGTTATGCCTTTGGCCAAAAATGTCAATAATGAGTAATTTAACCCGGATGTGCCACGCCCACCTCAATTTTTTTTTGCATAGGTTAATTGATATTCAAATTGTGATGCTATGTTCAAAATGTCAAGCTTCTACATCATGCAGGTCAAAAGATATAGGTCAACAAAAGTCAAAAAAGGTCAAAATCGTAAATTGAAAATATGGAAATTTTAAAACCCATTCCTTTTTTGGAACTATAAAGCTGAAATAACTGAGTTGTTAACACAAACTAGCCAAAAGGATGAGGTTATTGTGTGCAAAGTCCCCTTTTGAACAAATGTATCCTATGCGAGATATGCCCCTTCCTCTAAATATAAACAATTAATAATTCAACCCGGATGTGCCACGCCCACCTCAACTTTTTTGTCATAAGTGAATTCATATTCAACATGTCTAGTTGTGTTCCAAATTTTAAGGTTCTACATCAAGTAGATCATAAGATATACATACACCAAGTTCAAAGAGACATAAATATGGTAAGAAGCCACTCGCATTTGAAAAAATCAAGAATTTCAATTTTGCTTTAAAAGTACGATTGTTATATATCACTCGAAAGAGCATGGGAAGCATATTAAGAATCCGAAAAAATTGACCCTTTAGGTTATTTTGGTCATATGCTAGAGCAGTCCAAAGTTGCGAATTTGGCTGTTTTCGGAACGCTATAAAACCGGAAGTACAGGTCGGAGGTTTACATGTCAAAGTAACAACTGATAGTCAAGGTCAATGACCTTTAACCCTATAAAGGTCAAGGTCATCAAAGGTCACGAGATAGAACTTGCAAAAACTTCAACCGGAAGTTGCAAAAAATGAAAAGCGAAATTAAAAAATCGGCTTCCTAGTTTTTGTTGGCAATCGGTTGTAGATTACATACACATAGAAATTTTACACGCCCATTTCTTCATAGAGGCCCCATTTTTCGATTTACAAAAGTGTGTTTTTTCAATATGGCGGCCGAAGTATCATTTCCGGTCTGGATTTTATTTTAAAATCGGCCATAAAATTTCATTTGGTAAAAATCAGCTAAATTTTGTTGACCTACATAAATTACACCGGAAGTTATTCAACCGGAAGTAGATTTGAAATTCAGTCGCTTTCCTGTTCAAAAGCGGAAATGACGTGCAAAATTTGACTTTACCATATTATTAACATTAGTAAAGTCTCTTTTCATTTAAAATTTCAGATCAATCGATGCAAAAGCAAAAAAGTTGCAAAAAAATTGAAAAATTTGATCGAAAAAAGTGAGCGACGAATTTTCGAATTTCGTAATTTTTCAAGTGCTATCAGGTCAGAAATTACAGATAGATTGTAAAAATGAAAACCCGAAAAAATCGATGCAAAAATACGCCTTTTAGAGCCGATTTTCGACTTTTTGCACATGTTGAACTGTGGCACTTCCGGTTTTGCAAAAATGTTCCAAAACATATTCATTAGCAACGTTGCCACTACAGAAGGTCTACAGAAGTTGAAACGTTGCTGCAGCTAATGCAGCCTGCTCAGGAAGGTGTGTAAAATACGAAAAAAAAGAAAAACTAGAGCCACTCGTGGCACAGAGTGGGACTTTGCAAATGTAGCAAAATGCAAAAGAACCTGAAAAAATCAACCTTCCACGATAATTAGATCAAGCGCAAGAACGGTGTAAAGTTGAGAAATTTTCATTTTTTAGAAGATTGTAATACCGGAAGTGGACGTCAGACCTCACAAATGAAAGTATCAGCAGATAGCCAAGGTCAATGACCTTTGATCTTGTAAAGGAAAAGGTTTAAAAAGGTCAAGATCAAAGGATATACGCCATCAAAATTTCAAATTGCTAACGACTATAAAACCGGAAGTTGACATAGGACAGCAAATATAAAAGTATAAATAGATAGCCAATGCCAATGACGTTTAATGTTAGAAAGGTCAAGGTCAACAAAGGTCAAGGTCAAAAATTGAAAATTTTTAAATTCCAAAACCTGTTCCTTTTTTTGAACTATGAAGCAAAAACATATGAAAAAAACAAACAAAGTGGCTGAATATATGAGGTAATTGTATGCAAAGTTCCATTTTGAACAAATGAATACTTTGCGAGTTATGCCCCTGGCCAAAAATGTCAATAATTAGTAATTTAACCCGGATGTGCCACGCCCACTTCAATTTTTTTTGCATAGGTTAATTGATATTCAGAATGTTATGTTATGTTCGAAATGTAAAGCTCCTACATAATATAGGTCAAAAGATATAGGTCAACAAACGTCAACAAAGGTCAAAATCGAAAAATGAAAAAATCCAAATGTTAAAACCCGTTCCTTTTTTGGAACTATAAGGCTGAAACAACTGAGCTGTTAACACAAACTGGCCAAAAGGATGAGGTAATTGTGTGCAAAGTCCCTTTTTGAACAAACGCATCCTATGCGAGTTATGCCCCTGCCTCTAAATGTAAACAATTAGTAATTCAACCCGGATGTGCCACGCCCACATAAGTTTTTTTGTCATAGGTGAATTCATATTCAAAGTGTCTAGTTGTATTCCAAATATCAAGGTTCTACATCAAATAGATCATAAGATATACATATACCAAGCTCAAAAAGACGCANATATTGTAAAAAAAAACTCAAATATGAAAAAATCACGAATTTCAATTTTGCTTTAAAATAACGATTGTTATATATCTATGTAAAGTGCATGAGAAGCACATTAGGAAACCGAAAAAATTAC